GTGCTTCTTTTTTAAACACTTTTGTGAGTATGTGAAATATTTTTGAAAAGGTTCTATGGAAGATATTGCACGAGACTGGTGTGCTTCTGTTTTATAGTAAAACCCCCGCCAGTTTTTTCTTTGCATGTAACTCATTGAGGAGATTTCCCTTCATTTCCTGTCCTGGAGATGCAACATGAAGTGAAAAGAAAGTGGAATTCCCACCTTAAAACTGCTGGTACTGGAAAAAGTGACACCATTTAAAGGTGCCCCCTCTTTTCCTGTTCCAGTGACAACTCAGAATTATGAATTTACTTTTGCCCATTCTTGCTCATACTTGCCAGTGACCAAAGTGGACCAATAGAGAGTTTGAATCTTACCAGAGGGACACAGACAGCAGTAAGGGGTTTTAATCCTTCCCTACTCTAGCTAAAACTACAAAAAGAACATTCATACACTTCAAAGAGAAGAGAATATATTGTGGGTGGGGAGGAGGAGATGGGCCTCTCACCTTGTACCCACCACTAGCCAATATCAAAAGCCCCAAATACTTACCTAAATCCATGGTCACATTATGTACCAGGTCCCCAGCCTTCTGACTGCTGGATTGCAGAGTGGAATGGTCCTACTTCTGCAGATGTCCATGTCTGGGTGACATGGACACTTCCCATTAGTTGCCCTGCATTGGAGTTCACTCAGGCTCCAGAAGACTCCGATAGCATTATGACACGTGAGGGTCATGTGATGGCAGATTCAGGAAATCATAAAAGTGTGTTAGAGGGGATTTTTGTTTTAATTTAAGAATGGGGAAGAGATGGAGTAACATTTGTCTGTAGATGATATTTAAGTAATTAAAATAGGAAATAGCATGCATGCAAAAAGTATAAAAGTTTTGAAAAAATTACGCATCAAGACTTACTGAAAACCCTTTGATCATCTATATTTAATGAATCAGGGACTCTTAGTCTAAGAACAATATCCTGCATTCTGATTAAACTAAGGTTCTTTTAAGCAGGTTCTGAGTCATTCTAGATGAATGTGTACTGACTCAGGGGTCACCAGATAGTTGGATCTGTAGTTTATATTTGCATACTACTGTTCGATTTTACTTTTTCATGCGCTTCCCTGGAGAATTACGCCACAAGAACACAGAGGGAGATGAAGTAGCAAACTAGGCCATTTGCTATAAACAGATGCACTTTATATAAGCAGGCCATATTGGGCTTTGCTCTGACATGCTGGAAAAAGAGCCAGTTATAGCAAAATTTCAGGTATATTCAAAAGCCTTCCTGTAGTTTTGAAGCAAACCCATGGCAAACCTGGAACATTTAAATTGGGCTAGTGATAAAAAAAATAGATCAGTTAATCCAGAGATAGACAGCTGAAGTAGCATGCAAATCTTTTCCTGTAAAAGTTGATCTTTGTCCCACCTATTGAGCTACCTCCAAGGATCCCTAGGGAGGCCGAAGTAGAGGTGAGTGGGGCCAAGTAAAAGTTGAAAATTGAATGTAACTTCAGCTGCCTACATGTTTGTTATGGTTCTTGCAGAGTCCCTGTTGGGTTCTACAGACCTTCGTTGAAAATCCCAACCAGGACTTCCAGAAGACCCGCCAGTACCTCTAATGATATTCACAGAGCCCTGCCATTACTTCTAATGGCCCTCACAGAATCCAGGTCAGTAAGACCAATGATAGCCATCGAATCTGGACCAAAACATCCAGAGTGCCCTGATGGGAGCTCTTCTGAGCTGATATGAACTTCTTGATGCTGCAGGAGTTCCTTTTCTTGATGTTAAAACAAGAGCCTCATTAGCTGCCTCTGCGGCATCTTTTTGTTAGCCCTCTAGAGCAGTGGTTCTCAACCTGTGTAACCTCAGGACCCACATTTGTACTTGGTCATTAAGTCGCGACCCAAGTTGCACTGCAATGGAACGCAAGACATTGCGGTACTGCACATTGGCTGCTGTGCAGTGATGGCGCTCCATGCATATGTGCATTGCTTGTACAACTCCTTTGCACACCCTGTAGAGATGTCAGGAGCCAGAATGTGACATCACTCCAGTCCAGGCACCTCTACCGGACATGCGAGGGAACTGTAAGCAATTCTCGTCTGGATGGAGTTCCCTCATGGCCATAGCTCCAGCCCACCCCACCTCAAGCTGGCACTCAGGGCCAGGCAGCTTATTCTGAATGGCTGCTTGGTGCGAGAATGGACATTACTGTGCTAGAGGGAGGCTGAGGAGCCTCTCAGCTAGAAAAGTGGAGAGCATGCAGCGACCCACTGAACAAGGGTCCGCGACCCACTTTTGGGTCACGACCCACCAGTTGAGAACCAAGGCTCTAGAGGGTCTCATGGAGCTGGTCCCTAGGGCAGGGCTGGGGAGAGGGAGCAGGAGGGCTAAGCCTTTACAATGTCCTCTTCTGCTCCTCCCAAACTGTTAAATTCATAACTAAGAGGATAATTGAATATTCATATCCAATACTGTCTGAAAACCCCTAAATTATGATGCGCCATGAAATGAGCTTTAAATTAAAAATAAACTTGGCGTAAATATGAAACATGGTTGGGCCAGGAGAGTTAAAGCAGCTTGTCAGGCCCCTGACCTTTGTAACCTTTCCATTCTTGGTATGTCTGTTCTCATTTTGATGAGGTCCAGCTATGTGTGCAATTAATTTTACAATATTACTGTCCAATACCAAGTTATGAAATTGGGTTCATATTGTAACTCAGTTTTATGACTTATGACGCGGCCCCAGTAGTTGGGTCCCTGATTGCTATACAGTGGGTTAAGTGGTGCTGGTCATCATCTAACTTGGAAAAGGACCCTGCACATCATGTGCCAGGCCTGAAGACATCTGAAAAGTATTTAGGTAAAAGCAAAACATATACCAAAAGGGCTTCTGGACGCAGGGAGAGCACTAGGGTGTGGATGAAGGAGCCATGGGGTAGATTTTAAGCATAGCTTTGTTTTAACTTTCAAGTATTGTTGTAATAATAATTTTAATTTTTAAACCTGGCAGAAGACCATGATTAGATTTGGTAAATTAGCAGATGTCTGCTAAAATTAAACAATGACTGAAATATACTTATATGTACTTTGCATATGTCTACAAGTAACCTAATCAATAAAATGTCTGTAATTCCCCCCAAAAAGCTAATGAAAAATGTTCAATGTAAAAGTGAGAAAAGTCCCCATCTTGTCTTCTGTGTCACATACTTTCCCCGCTGATTTACCTGTTGCTCAGTTTATCTACATTAGATAAGAAATAGAATAAAAAAAGTTCCCCCTTCCCTCCTCCCCTTCCTCCGTGTTGATTTCCTATATGTCTGATTATATCTCGGTTTCCTATAACGAGCTTCATGCAGTGTGTGGTCACTTATCAGACAGGATCTCCTCTAGCTTGCTTTGAAGAGACAACTTTCCCTCGGCTCCGACACCTGTTTGATGTGGTGGGCTTTATCAGAAATCCATACTTTCTCGACATATGAAGGGTTGGTTGGCTGGGGGAGATCTGCTGTCTCACTTTCAGTTCTCTTTTCACTCTATCTTACCTTTCCTTCTTATCTTTTTGGGGCTCAATTATTAAAAAAAAAGTAGCAGAAAGTGACTGTGTTGCTCATTACAATACCTTACATCACAACTGTTGTTTTCTAACTTGTGGTAGAAAAAAAAAAAAAGTCAGAGGAGAGATGCAATGACCGAGTAGTGGCAGACAAAGCCACCACCAAAGAGAAAATAAAGATCACAAAGATTCAAAACGGACAACAGGTTGCAAATGAGTGCAATACAAATTCCAAAAAGTTCTTTAAATATATTCATATTAAACAAAGTCAGGTCTGTGTATATAGGCCCCTTACAAGATAAATCAGAGTTGGTAACTGGGGACACAGAGAAGGCAAATCTATTAAATATTTTCTCCAGCTCTACGCACACCAATGAACACGGTGGCACTCAAGTCCAAAATGGCGATGGAAGTGCCACAGGCTCTAATGATCCACAATGGCTGAAAATTGATATGGTCCAGAAACACAGATCAAAACAAATTGCTGATGAGCGCAACTACCTAAATGCAAGCTAGTAACCAAATTGGCTAACAATGGAGTAACACAATGGGCTGAGAAACATGAATGTCATATAGAAGTGATAGTAGGGAAGTGATAAGCCGCGAGCGGCTGTGTGACACAAGGCTCCCGCTCGTGGCTTATCGCTTCCCCCTTCAGCCGCCGTGGCTCGGCCTGGCCAGTTGAGTACGTGAGCTCGGCTGACAACCCGATCTTCAACTCCGGTCCGACAGCCATCTACCTTCCATCTGTCAGTGCAAAGGACCCGACTGAAAAGACCCTGAAGGGAACCCTGCGGGAGACTCCCGGGCAAGATTGCTCACATCCCAACTGTAAGTCTCCTACCATTGGTTCTATTTCATAGGGCCAGCCATATTATGGCTGCCAGTACTTCTATATGACATTCATGTTTCTCAGCCCATTGTGTTACTCCATTGTTAGCCAATTTGGTTACTAGCTTGTATTTAGGTAGTTGCGCTCCTCAGCAATTTGTTTTGATTTGTGTTTGTGATATATACAGGGTCCCTCCCCCTGCAGTGAGGAGCATTGCACACCATTCCATAGCAGTCACTTTCTGGAGTTGTGTCCGTCCCACAGGAGTGCGCTCTATCAATTGTGTTTTCTATGGTCCAGAAACAGTTAGACAAAATAAAGGGGAACATAGCCCTTGAACCAGATGAATAACACCCACACATCTTCAAAAAATATGAGCTCTTTTATTTCAAAGCCATGGTATCTAATTTTTAGAGACTTTTAATGACTGGCTTGTTAACAATGGAGTGGGGCAAGGCCAATGTGGTACGCATAGTTAAAAAGTCTTTATCAAGTAACTTCACGCCTGTGAGCTTAGCTTCCATAGTTGGGAAGATACTTAAGAGTTGGATATAGGATTGCATGTTTTTGCTAGAAAATAATGTTATAAGCGATAGCATGATTTCACAAAAGAAAGACATTCTTACACAAATCTACTTTCTTCTTATGAGGAAGTGAGCAATACATTATACAAAGGAAGGCTGTGGATATAGTATACTTGGACTTTGCAATTATAGTGTGACACAATTCTCCACATGCGGCTAATGTATAAGTATAATGTATAAGTTAAGGTCAGTAAGTATAGAGTATGAAATCTGTAATTGGATGGAAAACTGGCTTAAAGACCGTATTCAGAGAGTGGTGATCAACTAGTCATAATCTGAATGGTCTGAGGTTGTTAGCGGTGTCCCCCAAGGTTCAGTGTTGGGCCCCTTACTGTTTAATCTATCTATAAATAATATAGAGTTGGGGATTAAAAGTACCATTTCTGTGTTTGCAGATGACACCAAGTTATGTAGTGGAATAAGGTCCTTACAGGATGTCTCCAACTTAAAAGCAGATCTGAATGCACTGTGTGATTGGCATTTATTTGAGAAATTAGGTTTAAAGGAGAACTATGGGGTCAGTGTTTTTCCCCATAGTTCACGAGAGGACAAAAACTAGCATCCTCCCATGACCCAAAGCTCAGTATATCGCGAGCTAGAGCTCTTGGTATACTGAGACCGCCACAGCCGGGACAGATCCTGACAATACTGTCGAGATCCACCCAGCTGCGTGAGTGACAGCTGGCTCTGCCTATCAAGAGGCAGAGCCTGCTATACCGCCCCCTCCCCGTCTGTTCCTCCAGTCAACGCTGGGAGATCGGAGCGGGAGGGGGGGGAATCCCTGCAGGGAGCCATGACTGACAGTCACTGCTCTCTGCAGGGACATGATCAAGAAGTGAGCGAGCAACGGTATGTGTTCACTCACTTCCCCCTGTGTCCCTGCTAGGGAATTCACCTTCTCTGTTTGTCACAGTGACCATTGTCACTGGACTGAATGTGAGGGAAAATCCAAAACTTTGAGTTGTGTAAACCACATAAGATGTGTGGTTTACACACCTTACCAAGCCATTTGTTTCTAAGAAAAACGGGGAGATCTTCAAATCCAGAGTCTTATCCAGTGACATGTGTCTACGAATATTGGGTATATCTTCAATTTGGGAAGTCTTTTCCAGTTACATGTGTCTAAGAAAAATTAGATCTTCAAATCTGGAAGTCTTATCCAGTGACATGTCTCTAAGAATATTGGGGATATCTTTAAATCTGGAAGTCTTATCCAGTGACATGTGTCTATGAATATTGGGGAGATCTTTAAATTTGGAAGTCTTATCTCGTGATGTGTTTCTAAGAATAATGAGATCTTCAAATCTGGAAGTCTTATCTCGTGATGTGTGTGTAAGAATATTGGGGAGATCTTCGAATCCAGAGTCTTATCCAGTGACATGTGTCTAAGAATATTGGGGAGATCTTTGAATCCAGAGTCTTATCCAGTGACGTGTGTCAAAGAATATTGGGGAGAGCTTCAAATTCAGAGTCTTATCCAGTGACATGTGTCTAAAAATATTGGGGAGATCTTCAAATTGGAAAGTCTTATCTAGTGACATGTGTCTAAGAATATTGGGGAGATGTTCAAATCCAGAGTCTTATCCAGTGACATGTGTCTAAAAATATTGGGGAGATCTTCAAATTGGAAAGTCTTATCTAGTGACATGTGTCTAAGAATATTGAGGAGATCTTCAAATCCAGAGTCTTATCCAGTGACATGTGTCTAAAAATATTGGGGAGATCTTCAAATTGGAAAGTCTTATCTAGTGACATGTGTCTAAGAATATTGGGGAGATCTTCAAATCCAGAGTCTTATCCAGTGACATGTGTCTAAAAATATTGGGGAGATCTTCAAATTGGAAAGTCTTATCTAGTGACATGTGTCTAAGAATATTGGGGAGATCTTCAAATCCAGAGTCTTATCCAGTGACATGTGTCTAAAAATATTGGGGAGATCTTCAAATTGGAAAGTCTTATCTAGTGACATGTGTCTAAGAATATATGGGAGATCTTTGAATCAAGAAGTCTTATCCAGTGATGCGTCTAAAAAACGGGGGAGATCTTTAAATCGGGATGTCCTATCCAGTGACATGTGTCTAAGAATATTGGGGAGATCTTCAAATCAGGAAGTCTTATCCAGTGATGCGTCTAAAAAACTGGGGAGATCTTTAAATCGGGATGTCTTATCCAGTGACATGTGTCTAAGAATATTGGGGAGATCTTCAAATCCAGAGTCTTATCCAGTGACATGTGTCTAAAAATATTGGGGAGATCTTCAAATTGGAAAGTCTTATCTAGTGACATGTGTCTAAGAATATTGGGGAGATGTTCAAATCCAGAGTCTTATCCAGTGACATGTGTCTAAAAATATTGGGGAGATCTTCAAATTGGAAAGTCTTATCTAGTGACATGTGTCTAAGAATATATGGGAGATCTTTGAATCAAGAAGTCTTATCCAGTGATGCGTCTAAAAAACGGGGGAGATCTTTAAATCGGGATGTCCTATCCAGTGACATGTGTCTAAGAATATTGGGGAGATCTTCAAATCAGGAAGTCTTATCCAGTGATGCGTCTAAAAAACTGGGGAGATCTTTAAATCGGGATGTCTTATCCAGTGACATGTGTCTAAGAATATTGGGGAGATCTTCAAATCCAGAGTCTTATCCAGTGACATGTGTCTAAGAATTTTGGGGAGATCTTCAAATCAGGAAGTCTTATCCAGTGACTTGTATCTAAGAATATTGGGGAGATTGTCAAACTGGGAAATCTTATCCAGCGACAAGTGCCTTAGAATAACGGGGAGATCTTTAAATCCAGACACCTTATCCAGTGACATGTCTATGAATAATTAAGAGTATAGGGAGATCTTTAAATCAAGATGTCTAATCCAGTGACAAGTGTCTTTGGATTTCCTCTTCCTGTTGTGTCTACAGGACAGGAAATGAAGGAAAATTACCAAATTAAACACAGATGGCAGGAATTATAACCATTCTCTTCTATCCAAAACTACAAAAAAAAAGTTAACTTTAGATATCTTTTAAACATTGAGTCATTGTAAACTCTCCTGGTTCATAATATATAACCGGGGTCAGATTTTAAACCACCTCTTCACTTTCAGTCTAAAAGCTGTCAATAGAAAATAGGAGAAGAATTCTGCATATCACAGTGCTGGTCAAACACAAAATGAATGAGGTGCTTGTTTCCTGAAGCCTCTCGTATTTTACAAATCAGGGACACAGCCAGAACATTATGAAGAATGCTTCTCAATTCTTATCTGCTCTGACTCATATCTAGTATTATTGGACCCCCTAAGTCCAAAAGGGCCTGTGTGCAGCTGTACAATCTACATAAATGATTTGTTAGTCCCTTTAAAAGAGAGGGACAGGGGAGAACAGTGATCCTGGGACTTGGCCTTCTAGTGATCCCAGGTGAAGGCAAGCAGAGACACTTCTATGGAAAGCCGGAGAGAAGGTCAGATGACCACAACTAAACAGATAAGATGCTCTCTCAAAAAAAGGCAATTGCATTTTCCTATTAATACAAAATGACACATTTCCTGTGGACGCAATGGAGCTTACATACATGTGGGGAAGCTGCGTTCACTATAAATATTTAATCCTGTACTATTTAATCCTGTACAAAGGAAATAAAAGCCTAACTCCAAGTTGCCCCCCTATTTCTTGCTCCCCCCCCCCCAACGGCGACTCCCAGAGGACATTCAAGTAGAGTAGCCAACATGTTCTGGGGTTCAATACACACCCCCTTCATCAGGGCAAAATGAGAGAAATCATGTATGTGGACTACAATCCCTGCAGCTTGTTGTGATAGGAGTACTTCAGGCTTCTCAGTATTATCATTTACACTACTTTTATAGCCCTACATTTCTGATGCATCAAGTATCTATTTAACATAATAAATTATTGTTTTGTTTTCTATTCTACTGCACTAATTTATTATATTTCTACTATTCCCATAACATCCACTTATGTTTAGGCCTCTAGCAAGTCATAGCACTGTCATATTTTGGTACAGAGATGTTCCCTTGAGTTTTGCCTTAGCCCTGATCAAGGGGAAAACCTGAAATGAGTTAGCTACTTGAATGTCCCCCTGAACCTATTTGAATAAAGTTGTATATGGAATATATGGACTATTTTCTTTAATGTAGACCTTTCATTCCTACCAGACATGTGCAATTCGTTTCGTTACGAATCGAAATTCGTAAGGAGTTCCTGAAAAATTCGTAAATTCGGAAGCATCCAAAATCCGAATTGCAGTTTCCGAATGTATCCGAAATACGAAATTCCGTTAACGAATTTCGGATCCGAATTTCGTTGAAACAGGAACTAATATTACCCCTGTTACTGAGGTTGAAAAACATGACAAGATTTTTTTTTTTATACGAAATCCGAAATTCAGATCCGAAATCCATTAACGGAATTTCGTATTTCGGATAAAAAAAAAATGACTGTTTGGTTGACCAATCAGAGGTTTTCTCTTCTGCTGCTGCATTACAATACAGGCAGGAAATACGAAATTCCATTAACGGATTTTTGTTCCGTTACGAACATTCGTTATGATGAAGTTAAAAAGCAAGGGAAATCCAAGGGAAATATTTTTTAAGCAGTGAATCTGACATTCACCATTTGGTGTAGGTGGATCTTCCAGGTGCATGTGTTTTTTAGTGACAGTTATTGATTTTCCACTAGTGACTGGTGAAAGTCACATTCACTGCTTTAGAAATATGTGCCTGAGCTATATTAATATGAAGAAGGATTGAAGGTAATTACACAACAAAGTAACTTTCTCAATGCTTAGTAATTGTACAAACGGACTAAAATGATGTTAGTCGCCTAAAGTAAAATATCAACATCTAGGCTACCTGTGAATGTTTTTGAAAGCTAACCAAAACTTTTTTCTGCAGTGGACTCTAAGAAGTGCTCTGGGTCTTGATCTAAAAACGTTGAAGCATTTGCTGATCTATCTATACTCTGCGGTGGCTTTATTAGTTCACCGATAGTCTGCCGATTGCACTTGTTTTTCATGTTACAGTCATCTATAGTGTTAGCTATGCATGACTTGGTACAAAGTAGGGGTTAAAGATGTAGGGCCACAAACCACAGCACCTTATCGGTGACCCATATAAT